ATATATATATATATATATATATATATGGAGTGCAAGCTCAGGATGCTATTATGTGGTAGGTACTCTGAGGTGTTGTTCCCCGAAATCTGCTTCATAGCTTAACCTAAAACAGTCCTAAAAACAAACTTAAAAGCCACGGTCCGTACCAAGCTTCGACGGCTAGTGTATCTTTATAGCTAATTTGTGAGTCACATTCTTAATATATCTAATTTATTCATAGATATATGCCAGATAGCATATTACCGACAAATGAAACGTTTTCCCGGAAGAAATTTGAACAAGCCAAAGATCATGAGACTAGCAGAATTTATTGACGTCATGTAATCTCGCGACCTCTTATTCAAATGCCAAACGGTCGTTGCCTATTAGAATCAGTATCAGATTATTGAGGCAAAGATGGGCGAACGCCTTTGAACTCCCTGTTGGTAAAAAGATGATAGAGAATAAATGGATACACAGGAAAATTTAAAAATTACATCAATTACATGTTCCGGGTAGATAGCAGAGTCAAATCGCAACAAAATATGACTGAACAAATATGACTACTCGCAAATCACGAGTAGTATAATTTGATGCAGTCAGATAAATTACCTATCCAATTAAGTATCGACCTAGAAGGGTGAAAATTGATAGGTACATAGAATAGAAGCTATTAGTCTTAGATGTGGGTGCGTGGTGATGGGGCGAGGTAGTTATCATAGTAAGGCATTTCATGTTACAGTGAAAGCCTGCGAAGTGTGATTAAAGGGGAATGAAGGTCAAAGGACAGGGCCGCAGTCGGTCATGGGGGGAGGGAGGAGGCCTGAGAGGGAATGAATTTGTCGGTCGTTAACACGACAATGCGAGGGTGATCACATGGTCCAGCTGATTACAGAGTTCTGGTTTTCTTCTCCAAAATGCAGCGGCCTACGCGCAGCCAATGACCGCGTTTGCAGTTGAATGATAGGTCGCAAAATTATCTGAAGTTAATAAATTCTGCCGGTCTCGTGATCTTTGCTTTGTTCAAATTACCGACCAAGTCATGGGAAGGGGGTGATATGACACTGCCGTCAGTCAGCCACAACCAACCCAGGATCTGGTAGACCTAGTATTCGAATCCGGGATCTTTAGTCGGCGAAGGTAGTTTAAGAAGTGCCTTTAGTCCCGGCACTTTTTCCTGCGGAAACGGTTGTCATAAGGGTTTTGGGGTGGGTAACTAGGATAGGCAGTGAAGAAAATTTATAGAAGTAAGTTAAAAGTGGAAAAATGTACTTGAATTTGTTTCTTGCGGCCGCTTGGAGTAGGTTGTTCCGCATGCAAATTGTAGGTGTGCCGGAATGGTAAGTTGGACTTCAGGTAAGTTGAAGTGGACGACCTCCTAGACCCCATTTCTGTTTTTTTCAGGAATTTCAAGAAGCTGCGTTTTGATAATTGGGTTTTTCCGGAATGCATTAAACGAGCATACAGATTGGGAAAATCTACACATTTAAATCACCTGCACTTCTAAATACGATAAATTAAAAAAGTATATAACAGTTATCAAAGTTTGAAGCATGATGTTCCCGGAGAGAACTTGAAGATTGTAAACAATGCAAAATTTAATGGCACCATAAATTTCGTGA